AGAGCGTCGGCCCGCGGACCAGAGAGTCCCGGGTTCGGTTCCTGCTAAGGGCACGTACCTCGGTTGCAGTTTGTCCCCGGCCCCAGTTGGGGTCGTGTGAGTGGCAGCCAGTCGATGTGTCTCATTCACATCAATGTTTCTCTCTCTCTCTTCCTCCCTTTCTCCCTCCTGCTCTACCTGAAGATAAATACAAACATGTCCTCGGGTGAGGATTAAAAAAAAGAAAGAAACGAAGGGGAGTTGCAACCCCACTCATAGTTCCGGTGGCTGGTGACAGTCATTGTCACAGTGCTGTTGGCACTTTATGACACTTGGACGATCAGTTCAGAGCTGGAGATGTGCAGATGGTACCCCTGGCATCAGGGCCTTTCTGTTTGTGCTCTGACCTTTCCATTCCTGTCCAAGACGAGGGTTTTTGTTCTTTTAAACAAACCAAGAGGAGGAAGCTCCAAAGGTTAAACCCGCCTGTGACCGCGGCAGTAATAAGTAGCCCCTGTAAAGTTGGATGTGACCAGGGCGGCGGGAGGGTGCGGACGAGATTCATCCCAGCCGGGCTCCTGGAAGGGGCTGCTGTCTCGGCCGGCTGTGCAAGGCTTCGGGCACAGAGGAACTCGGAACCTCTTGCCATGTCTTTGCTCCCAGGGGCCCCCGCGTGATGGATACTGAAGAATTTAGAGGGGAGCCCTGGCCGGTTTGGCTCAGCGGTTAGAGCGTTGGCCCTTGGATCAAAGGGTCTTGGGTTTGATTCAAGGGCGAGCACCTGGGTTGTAGGTTTGATGCCTGGTTCTGGTCAGGGTCATGCTGGGAGCAACCAATCGAGTCTCTCTCTCCCATAGATGTTTCTTTCTCTCTCTCTCTCCCTTCCGCTCTCTAAAAATAATGGAAAAATATCCTCAGGTGAGGATTAACCAAAAAAAAAAAAAAAGAAGAAGAAGAAAAGAAAATAATTTAGAAGGAGGAGGCTGCCAGATCATTATTCTTTTATTTGTTTCATTTATAGAATAGAGCTGTGTGATCCCTGCTGACGATAGTTATTTTTCAACGTGCAACATTTTTTTAGTTTTACTTCCCAAATAGATCAGAATTAGAAAATTAAATTGCTTTTGGCTTGGATGTGATCCATGAGTTATTTGCCTGGCTCTCTGAACTAGAGGCTCTTAACAGAAAAAAAGGCACACACCCCCAGCACCCCGCCCAGCCCAGCAGGGCACTCGGCATGTGAACCGAAGAGCTTTGAATACTCAGCCAACACCGGAACTGAGGATAGGTCATGCCTGTGTAAACACCCACGCCAGTCACAGGTGTATTTAACAATAGGGAATTGAAATGAAATGTAATGACACAATTTCGTCACTACCTGGGTCACTGCTTAAGACTTCCGAGAGTAAAGTGTAAAGGAGTCATCAAGAACTTGTGACATTTGCAGGTTGAACGGTCCTGCGGGGGGTCACTGTCCTCGTCTGCCCCTAGACGAGACTGCAGAGAGGTGTCTTGCGCTGTTATCTCTTCAGGGTGCGGAGGGCGCCGCACGTTTGACACGTGGAATGTTTAAGACCACCCCCCCCATCATCTCCCCACTCAGCCATGTCAGGGTTTGAAGCTGGGAAGGACAATTTCTGTGGGCCTCTTGAGGCTTGGGGACAGGAAGTGAAGGTGGAGAGGAGTCCATCCGTCATGTCACAGCCCAACAACAGGAGCTGTTTGCTAAGTGGAGTTAACACCTAGGCATTTGTGTTGCCCTTGGAGCTTAAGGGCAATTATGAGCTTAACCGGTGGTAGTTCCGGGAGTCCCACCCCCCGGCTCATGGCACCCGGTCTTTCTACTGAATAGAGGCAGCACAGATGAATCAGAGCGTGTTCCCCACCAGCTCTGGCGTTCTTCCCTAATGAACAGTTTGGGAGTATTTGCCAGCTCACCAGCTGATCACCCCCACCCTTTCTCTTGAGATTATCCTCTTCCTATGCACAGGGTGGACCCCAGGATGTCACGCTCCCTGTTACCCAGACTCCTGGCCAGGGATAGAGAAAGGACCCAAAGGGGTGAGAATTTCTTCCCCCAGAGTCTCAGGTTTGATTCCCGGTCAAGGGCACATATCTTGGTTGCAGGTTCGATCCCTGGCCCCAGTTGGGGTCATGTGGGAGGCAACGGATCAATGTGTCTCCTCCCTCCCACTCTGTCTTTTATTTATTTTATTTTATTTTTTATCCTCACTGGAGGACATTTTTCCATTTTTTGTTCAGATAGAGTGGGAGGGAGAGAGAGAAAGAGAGAGAGAGAGAAAGAGAGAAAGAGAGAGAGAGAGAGAAACATCGTTGTGAAAGGGACACATTGAGTGGCTGCCACCTGCACGACCAACCAGGGCCGGGGACAAACTGCAACTGAGGCACACACCCCAGCAGGAACCAAATTCCGGGTCTCTCTGGACCGCAGGCCGATGCTCTAACCGCTGAGCCAAACTGGCCAGGGCCTCACTCTGTCTTTTAAAAAAAATCAGTGGAAAAATATCCTCGGGTACAGATTTAAAAAAAAAATGAATGAATTAGTAACAGCTGAGTTGGGCGGTGGGCAGAGGCGTTGCAGACCAGGCCAACCAGATCTCCAGCGCGCACACGATGGATCTGGAATGACTGAGAACGAAGGCCCTCAGTGGGAAAGAGAGGGAGGGACGTCGTCTGGCTGAGTTTGTGTTTTGAGCCAGATGCTCAGCATGGGCTCCAGGTAATACTCATGGTAGACGTCTCTCAGAAGCAAAAGGCAGCAGCCCATTGTACAGATAAGAAAACTGAGGGCCAGGCAGGTGAAGAAGGTTTCTCCTACTCACACCAGCTAGTAAGTGGAGGTGCAGGGATGCTCACTGGGGTCTACCTGGCTACACATTTCATGCTCTTTCTTTTTCTCTTCGAGGAATGTCAGTAAGTGATATGTGGCTAAGAAGAAAGGTGGGGACAGACAAAGGGAGCTTGGGACAAGAGGGACCAAGCTACGTGAGGGTCTCCTAGGGCACCAGGTAAGGGTTGAGGACACCTGGAAATCCACCTGCGTCATGGCTGGGTCACTAGAGAAGATTTCCTCCCCCAAACTCCCAGGAATCCCCCCAAACCTGCGGACCACAGAGACCACACCACGAAGCCAGTGAGGAGCTGTGCAGAGCAGAGGGTGCGGGCTTTTCTCGGCAGAACACCTGATACACGTTGGCATGAATTACCTTTGACAGCCTCACACAGAAGCAGAAAATAAAGTAAATCCAGTCCTTGGAGCCAAAACCCTTGAGTGCAGAAGTCAGAAGTCAGACCAGCGCCCAGAATTTATCTTCTACCATTGCTTAAAAACAGCATTCTGGGCCCTGGCAGGTGTGGCTCAGTGGTAAGAGCATCACCCGCGGACCAAAGAGTCCTGGGTTCAATTCTGGCCAAGGGTACGTACCTCGGTTTCGGTTCGTCCCCAGCCCCGGTTGGGGTTGTGCAGGTGGCAACCGATTGATGTGTCTCTCTCACATCGATGTTTCTCTCTCTCTCTCTCTCTCTCTCCCCAGCTCTATCTGTAGATTAATATAAAAATGTCCTTGGGTGAGAATTTTTAAAAAAAGCATTCTGGGATGGAAATCACTGTGTGCCTCGACTCCTCCCTTCAGCACCTGCCCCCCATCTCCCATAGCTCCTCCTGGCCGTGTAAACAGAGATAGAGTCTAAAGGCCTCCGTGAGACGTGCAACACGAATAATAATCTAGTCCTGCCCACCTGTTTGAGACCATCTCCTGGCCCCCCAGCCCCCAGCCCCGCTCTGCTTCCTAGACACTCAACAGTTCCAACACTGAAAAGCCCTCCTCCCCAGCCTAAGATCGGAGGGCACCTCCTCCAGGAAGACTTCCTTGTTCCCACAGCGCCTGCCCTTCCTTCACAAGGAGGGACCCCGGGGCGACCCGACTGGCTGTCACTACAGTTCCTCTTGCTTGTGGCTGAGAAAAGGCCTTTCGTGATGTCCAGCCCCTGGCGTGTGGCGGATACAGCGGGCCCTGGACAAAGACCTCCTGAATTGGTACCCGCCGCCCCACCACGCAACGGCAACCGCCTGTTTTCAGGCAGCGTCCGGACTGAATCTGGAAGGCAGACCTTTTCCAAATCGGGGCTGGCAGCTCTAGTCTTGACATAAATGGGTCTTTCCCATTTTCCTCGACAGGGTCACCGTGGTTCCCTACACTTCATGTGTTTTAAAAAAGGCAGCTGAATGGCACAATCCCACAGCTAGGAGGTGACGGGGCTAGGGCCATACAAACTTATTCTTAGGACTCGGTCTGGAGTCCAGTGTCCGCTGGGGCCGCGGAGAACCCGGCACAGGGCCTGTGGCCGTAGCAGCGGGAACACCTCAGCTCTGCTCCCCGCACCCCACTCTGCCCAAACCCCAGGCTCCCAGCAAGGTTTCTTTCTTTTTCTATTTATCTTCAGGTAGAAAGAGAGGAAGAGAGAGAAACATTGAGGTGAGAGAGACACATCGACTGGCTGCCTCCCGCATGACCCCGACCAGGGCCGGGGACGAACCACAACTGAGGTACGTGCCCTTGACTGGACTCGAACACAGGACTCATTGGTCTGCGGGCCAACACTCTCCCGCTGAGCCAGACCGGCCAAGGCCCAGAAAGATTTCTTTGCGGGTCAGAGGGAGGTTTCCGGAAGGTGATGCTTACTTTCCGCACGAGATGGAAACACCGCATCTCATGGAGACTGGTTTGAGGTCTGCCCGAGGCCCACCAGCACACAGTCGGCATGCTCCTGACCAGTTTCTCCAGTCCCCACCCTTCATCAAGGTTCTCTCTGTCCCCAGGCATGAGAAGATAGAGAAGATTAAAGAAAGGTCTTCAGAATCGCTGCTACAAAAGGCCCCTTCCCCGGCACCCACCGTGGAATGGAGGACCTCCGCCCACCTAGGGCCCAAGCAGAACAGCACGCTGGACACTCACCCCGAGGCCACAGGTCACCCCATGGCCCCAGGGCCCAGCACAGCAAGGACAGCATTACTCAAGAGCCAGGAGAGGAAGGACACCATGGTGGACATGCTGTCCCAGGAAAGTTGGGACAGGGGCATGGCCTCCAACGGGACAGAGGCGCTGTCACCTCCAAGTCAGGACTCAAGGGCAACGGAAGGAAGGAGGGATGAGGGTGAGAAGCCAACAGCCGCAAGGACAGTGTCAGCGAAGCCTCGGGCATCCACAGCAAGGACACCCCTTCTGGAACGTCGGGCTGAGGTGCTGGCCACCACGGGAGCAGGGTCTCCAGGAAGGAAAACACAAGGAGTGACCCCAGCGATGGTCCCGTCCAAGGGGCCAGCCCGGGCCACCCCCTCTGCCCCTTTCCAGAGCCCCACCCCGCAGATGGGCCCGAGGCTGCAGGCCGCCAACTTTAAGTCTGAGCCCAAGTGGGGTTTTGAGGAAAATTACAGCTTGGATGTGGAGGGCTTACAGACGGTGAGTTTTGCCACAACCCCTGCCCTATGCATCCCTGTTCTGAAGCCCACCGGGAATTCAGCCCACCCCCAGCCCCTCCCTCCCTCCCACTCTGAGATAAATGGAAAAGTATCCTCAGGTGAGGAATTTAAAAAAAGAAAAAAAGCCCTGGCTGATTTGGCTCAGCGGTTAGAGCATCCGCCTGCGGTCCTGAGAGACCCGGGTTCGGTTCCCGCTAAGGGCATGTACCTCGGTTGCAGTTTGTCCCCGGACCTGGTTGGTCGTGTGGGTGGCAGCCACTCGATGTGTCCCTTTCACATCGATGTTTCCCTCTCTCTCTCCCTCCCACTCTGTCTGTACAAAAATGGAAAAATGTCCTCGGATGAGGATAAAAAAAAAAAGGAAAACATGTATGATGGCCCTGGACAGTTTTTCTCAGTGGTTAGCACATTGGCCTGTGGACCAAAGGGTCATGGGTCGATTCCAGTCAAAGGCCAGGTACCTGAGTTGCAGGTTTGATCCCCAGCCCCAATTGGGTTCATGTGGGAGGCAACCAATCGATGTGTCTCTCTTACCTCTGTTTCTCTCTCTCTTCCCCCCTCTTTCCCTTCCACTCTCTCGCTAAAAAAAAAAATCATCGCCCTGGTGGGTTTGGCTCAGTGGTAGAGCATCGGCCTGCGGTCCAGGGAGACCCAGGTTCAGTTCCTGCTAAGGGCATGTACCTCAGTTGCAGTATGTTCCCGGCCCTGGTTGGATTATGTGGGCGGCAGCCACTCGATGTGTCCCTTTCACGTCGATGTTTCTCTCTCTCTCTCCCACTCTGTCTGAGCAAAAAATGGAAAAATGTCCTCCGGTGAGGATTAAAAAAAAAAATCAATGGAAAAATATCCTTGGGTGAGGATTAACCAAAAAAGAAAAGAAAGAAAACACGTATGATCACACATCATTGCAACCCTCGCACGCACACCGAATACGTAGGACATCCCAGGCTGTTCCGTGTCTCTCACACTCACCAAGTGCGTCTGCCTTGAGAGCCACCCACAGCCGGCCCACTGGGAAGCCAGGACGGGCAGGTGGCAGCCGCAGGCCTTCCCCACGGAGGCTGCTCTCTGCCCCTGCCACCAGCCAGCCTGGCCCTCTGGGCCTCTCCCCGCCTGACCCGCCCTCATGCATGTAGACCTGCACTGACTCCATCAAGGTGAGGGCCTCCCAGTCACTCTGGCTCCAGAATCTCTTTCTGCCCAACCTCACCCTCTTCCTGGACTCCCGACACTTCAACCAGAGCGAGTGGGACCGCCTGGAGCACTTCGCGCCGCCTTTCGGCTTCATGGAGCTCAACTACTCCTGTGAGTCCGCCCGAGCGAGTCCCGGCCCGAGCGAGTCCGGGCCCCCGGCCAGTCCGGGCCCCCGAGCCTGGCTGTGCGCTCAGCCAGGGCTTTTCGTCTCGGGTCTGCGCCTTCACTGGGGCCACCAGTCCTGGGAGGAAGGATGGGCCCAGCCTGGCCTTCCCGGGGCTCTGAATGGAGGGTCCCCCTTGTTCCAGTGGTGCAGAAGGTCGTGACCCGCTTCCCTCCAGTGGCCCAGCAGCAGCTGCTCCTGGCCAGCCTCCCAGCTGGGAGCACCCACTGCATCAGCTGTGCCGTGGTGGGCAACGGGGGCATTCTGAACAACTCCCACGTGGGCCAAGAGATAGACAGCCACGACTACGTGTTCCGGTGAGCCCCGCCCCCGGAGGCCTCTCCCCCCGCGGGCCCCTCCCCCGCGGCCCCGCCCCCGGAGGCCCCTCCCCCGCGGGCCCCTCCCCCGGTGGGCCCCTCCCCAGGCGGGCCCCTCCCCAGGCGGGCTCCGCCCCCGGCGGGCCCCTCTTGCAGACAGGTTCTTGTGACAGTTGATAGGGTGCTCCAGGCCTGTATCTTGGAGGGGGAATTCCTGGGCTCTCCAGAGAGCTTCCCTACATGACTGCAGCCTCCCCACTTCTTCCTCTCGCCCCCCACCTTCACACAGCACCCTCCGCACTCCTGCATTCTGTCCACTGTTTGCCTTTCTGCTCAGATTGGGCGGAGCTATCACCAAGGGCTACGAAGAGGACGTGGGTACTCGGACGTCCTTCTATGGCTTCACCACCTTCTCCCTGACCCAGTCGCTGTACACGCTGGGCAGGCGAGGTTTCCAGCACGCGCCTCTGGGGAAGGTGAGCAACGAGGAATGGGCCGGCCACACAGACTCTGGAGAGGGGGACACAGGTGGGACAGGGAGGTGAGCCTCCCGGCCCGGAGCCTGCGGTTGGTACAGGCTCTGCCGTGGGGAGGCAGGGCGGACCAGGCCTGAGAGCAGGCGGGCAGTCGAGTCGGAGCCGGGCCTCCCAGCCTGGGGTCCTGCGGGCAGTACTCCTGGGCCACTCACTGTCCTTGGTCCCCAGGACATCCGCTACCTGCACTTTCTGGAAGGCACCCGGGACTATGAGTGGCTGGAAGCTCTGCTCCTGAATCGGACCTTCGAGAAAAAGAGCCTCTTCTGGTTCAGGTGCCCAGTGCCCCCCCCCCCCCCCGGGCTGAGGTGCTTAGTGAGGAGCTGAGGCAGGAGAACTGAGCCTGAATGACCGCTCCTGCCCACAGGCAAAGGCCCCAGGTAGCTTTTCGGGAGGCCTTGCAATTGGACAGGTACCTACTGCTGCACCCCGACGTGCTCCGATACATGAAGAACAGGTAGGAGCAGAAGCCTGGAGGGGGCTGGGTCCCTCTCATCCTGGCAGCCTCCTGACAGTTGGAGGGGGGGGGGTGTGTTTCACAGGTTTCTGAGGTCTAAGACCCTGGACACTGCCCACTGGAGAATATACCGCCCCACCACGGGGGCCTTCCTGCTCCTCACTGCCCTTCAGCTCTGTGACAAGGTGAGGCTCTGCTCCGAGAGCAGGAGGAGAAACGGCTCCGGGCATTGCTGCCCTGCTCAGCACGGGGCAGCAGCTGGACGGGCTGCACGCCTCTCGGGTGGAGTGGGTGTGGGTGTGGGTGCATCCCGCGGCCTGCACCCAGACCTCCAGGGAGACAGGAATGAGGGGACCCGCCCCCAGCACACACAGAGTTGGCCTCTAAGTGGGCCCTGGGAGGGAGCGACGCAGCCCCTGTTTCTCCTCCACCGTTTCCGTAGGTGAGCGCCTACGGCTTCATCACCGAGGGCCACGAGCGCTTCTCGGATCACTACTATGATAAGTCCTGGAAAAAGACAATCTTTTACACCAACCATGACTTCAGCTTAGAGAGAACACTCTGGAAGCGGCTACATAATGAAGGTATAATCAGGCTGTACCAGCGCCCGGTAACTTCCAAACCGAAGATCTGACTGGGGCCCCTCCAAGGCTCGGCCAGGCTCCCAGCCCCTCCAGACCCGGAGGGAGCAGGAGGGAGCGTTCTCACAGTGGAGGGGCACCCCGACAGAGGATCTGGAGACCTTGGAGAGTTGCCGAAGGTTCTGTTTCCAGGATGGGGAGGACAGGGCTCCTTCTTGAGACCAAGGAATTTTAATTAAATGGGTGATGAGTGGTTAAAACCACAGATCTCTGGCGAAAACCACCCTTCACTGTTCGACAGCTACTTGGCACAGAGGACAGACCTGGATTTATGGAAACAGATTTGGGTTTGAATTCCAGACCTTCTACTTAGCAGCTGAGAAGCCTTGAAGGTGGTCACTTAATTTCACTCTTTGTCCAGGGAAGCGATTTTCAGCCGGTGTGCTACAAGAAATTTTAAAATATGTAATACTTGACGATTTAGTCAGGGGCACTGACTTCTTTTCCCTTAGACTGTCAAATTAAAAAAATGACAATATACTTACCTGGCAGGGGAGAAACCATGATCACGAATGTGCTGACCCCTGTGGCTTCCCCAAATGTGGGAAACTTGACTGCATTAAGAAAAAGAAAAAATAGCCCTGGCCGGTTTGGCTCAGCGGTTGGAGCGTTGGCCTGCGGACGAGAGAGTCCCGGGTTCAGTTCCCACTAAGGGCATGTACCTCGGTTGCAGTTTGTCCCTGGCCCTGGTTGGTCATGCGGGTGGCAGCCACTCGATGTGTCCCTTTCACGTCGATGTTTCTCTCTCTCTCTCTCTTCCTCTCTCTCCTCCCCACTCTATCTGAACAAAAAATGGAAAAAGGTCCTCTGGTGAGGGTTAAAAAAATAAAAATAAAATAAATAAATAAAAGAGTCTGCACTGTTCCTCATCTTGGAGCTGCATGACCACTCTCGGGGTGGTAGGAACTGATGCTAATACAAAGCCGTGCCCACAGAGATGCAAATACATTTTGTACAATGAAGACACAGGTAACTATTCCCTGTGGAGAGTGACCCGTCTGTACCTGTTAGTGAACTTGCTTTAGCATTCCTGACTGTCTTCAGTATGTGTGTCTGTAGTTGGGGTTCTCCTTGGAACCAGTTTTTACATCCTACTAGTTCCTTCATTCTTTAATGTGTTCAATAAAATCTTTGACATATGCCCTGGCTGGTGTGGCTTAGAGGTTAGAGGGTCAGCCAGTGCACCAAAGGGTCACAGATTCAATTCCTGGTTAAGGGCATGTACCTGGGTTGCAGGTTTGATCCCTGGCCCTGGTCAGGGCACATACAGGAAAGGAAGGCAATCAATCAATGTGTTGCTCTCACATTGATGTCTGTCTGTCTATCTATCTATCTATCTATCTATCTATCAATCATCTATCTATCCATCCCTTCCACTCTCTCTTAAAATTGATGGAAAAAATATCCTCGGGTGAGAATTAACAAAAACAAAAAAAAATCTTTGACATGTATTCATTTTATATTTGTATGAGAGTCACAATTTTACCCTTAAAAAAAAAACACCCCTTAACATTTCCTTAGGCTACTGTTTTCCAGCCTGTAACATGACTTTTAGGGTGTCCATTCCACACGGATTTTAAAAAATCGATGTGTGCCCTGGCCGGTTTGGCTCAGCGGTTAGAGCGTCGGCCTGCGGTCCAGAGAGACCCGGGTTCGGTTCCCGCTAGGGGCGCGTACCTCGGTTGCAGTTTGTCCCCGGTCCTGGTCGGTTGTGTGGGTGGCGACCACTCGATGTGTCCCTTCACATCGATGTTTTTCTCTCTGTTCCTCTCTCTCTCTCTCCCACTCTACCTGAACAAAAAATGGAAAAATGTCCTCGGGTGAGGATAAAAAAAAATAATAAAAAATAAAAATAAAAAATTGATGTGTGTGAAACACCTGACACAACAAGAAAATCTTTTTTCTTCCCCTTTCACTCTCCCATTCCCCCCAAAATCTGCATTTTCTCAAGCCCCACGCTGAGAATCTGAGCTAAACCAAAGATATTTCAGGTCGTCTTATTCCTTTGAGCTCGATCTCCAGGATTTGGACTCTGAAGCCCAGAACTCTAAGGATGCTAAACAGAATGGGAATCCTTGATGAAGGCGTGGAAGGCAAACAAAGAGAAGAGCGAAAAGCCAGCTTCCTTTGACGATGCTCGGTGCTCGGTTTTAAAGGCTGATTACTAAGACCATCAGGACTGGATTTGCTTTGCTCAAAAGGGGTGTAGTACCAGCTCAGGGCGGCAGGTGGCAGCATCTTGGCGCCCCATTCTCTGCAGTGCCTGCTTTTCTTTTTCAGGTTTTCCTCGTTCTTTTTATATGTTTATTCTTCTACATGAATTTTAGTATCCGCTGAGGACCTAGAAAAATGTTTTGCTATTTCTATTCAAATTGCACTAAATGTATACTTCTGTTTGTCCAAATCTACCTTTTTGTCTTTCAGGGCTGTTTTAATGTTTTCCTCGTACAGATTTCGAATATTTCTGGTAAATTTATTGCCCAGTATTTTATCTTCTTTGTTGCTATTGTAAATGGGATTTCTCCATATTGTATCCTCTCTCTGGTTATTGCTTATGTTTATGAAGGCTATTGATTTCTGTATGTTAATTTTATATCCTGCTACCTTGCTACATCAGTAGTATGTAGTAGATTCTTTCAGATACTGTCATATCATCTGCATGCAGATTTCTAATCCATTTATTATTATTATTATTTTAGAGAGAAAGAGGAAAGGAGAGGGGGAGAGAGAGAAAGAAACATCAATGTGAAAGCGAAACATCAATCGATCACCTCCTGCACATACCATGACCGGGGATTGAACCCACAACCTGGGTATGTGCCCTGGCCAGGAATCAAACTGGCAATACTTCAGTGCACTGGACAGCGCTCAACCAACTGGGCCACATGGGCCAGGGTAGATTTCTGATTCTTATGTCTCTAATTGACTTCCGAGTAAGTTAAGCCAACAGTTTATTCCACTTTGGACCCAGATAAGTGGGGCTCAGCCTTTACGTTTGGGTGGCCTGAGTTTACATTTGAGGAGGTGAATTTGGAGGTCCTCTACTGATAGTAAATTTGGTAGACTTGTGTCTTTCAATAGACAGATGACCAGAAAGTCCAGAAATCTACTCAGGTACATATGGAAATCACTGGGTCAAAATAGACTTTGTGACTGATGGTGCTCAGACAACCAGATGGCCATTTGGAAAGAGATCAAACTAGGTCTCTAACCCGCATTGCACATGAGAATGAACTCCAGATGGTTCTGAGATCTAAGTGTCAAAAATGAAATGATAAGCATACAAAGACTTTATGGGTAAATTTATACCTCTTAGGCTGGGGATAGGAAAAAGTTTTTAAATATATAACTCAAAGGCAATAAAAGATCAATAAATGTGACTACACAAAAATGATAAAACGTCGTCTGACAATAAAATCACCATGAGTCCAGCCCTGGCCGGTTTGGCTCAACGGTTGGAGTGTCGGCCTGAGGTACAGAGAGACCCGGGTTCGGTTCCCGCTAAGGGCATGTACCTCAGTTGCAGTTTGTCCCCGGCCCTGGTTGGTCGTGCGGGTGGCAGCCACTCGATGTGTCCCTTCACATCGATGTTTCTCTCTCTCTCTCTTCCTCTCTCTCCCTCCTGCTCTATCTGAACAAAAAAATGTCCTCGGGTGAGGATTAAAAAAAAAAAAAAAAAAAAATCACCATGAGTCCAAAGACAAATTTTTAAAAACTGGAAAAATTATTTGCCACATATATCATGAATTAAGGATTAATATCTTTAATATATAAATGACTCAATCATGAAAGGAAATAAGACCAAAAATCCAATAGAAAAATGGGCACAAAACATGAACAGCCATCCAGTCGATGTGGCTCAGTGATTGAGCATCATTGTATACACTGGGAGGTCACCAGTTTGATACTGGGTTCAGTTGCTGGTGGGGCACATGGCTGGGTTGTGGCTCAAACCCCAGGAGGGGGTATGTGGAAAGCAGCCGATGGATGTTTCTCTCTCACACTGATGTTTCTCTCTCTCACACTGATGTTTCTCTCTCTCATACAGGTGTCTGTATGGTTTTACATAGATAGTTAGAGAGAGAGAGAGAGAGAGAATTATATGTAAGGGGATATGTACACATGTATATGTGTATATACACACATACACATATATTTCTTAGCTCTGTCAACTGACAGGACCTAGAAGCAGTGACACTCCAGTAACAATGACCACATAAAGGACCCACATCTTGGGTTCCTAAATATCATTTTCCATGCTAAGGAACCAGGGCTTTTTGGGAAAATGGCTGATTCCTGGAATGAAGAGGGTACAAGATGAACCTGGAACATCTTATTAGCGCTAAAGGAATGGGGACCCCTCCAAAGAAGACAGCAACCGCTTGAAGGAGCTCCCACTAGCTAAATAGGGACAATCTAAGAATAAAAATAACCATAGTAAGCCCAGCCAGTGAGGCTCAGTGGCTGAGCACTGTCCCCTGCACCAAGAGTCTGCTGGTTCTATTCCCAGTCAGGGCACATGCCTGGGTTGTAGGCTTAATTCCCAGTAGGAGGCATGCAGGAGGCAGCCAGTCGATGATTCTCTCTCATCAATATTTCTCTCTCCCTCTCTACTTCTCTCTCTCAAAATCAATGAAAACATATTTTAAAATAATAATAATAATAATGCATTTCACTTTGAATAATGCAACACTTTGAATAGAATGGGAATCCATGAGTCCATACTGATGTCAATAAATAAATAATGGGGGAGAAAAACACTTTTTCTTTTTTTCCTCACCCAAGGACATTTTTTTGCATTTATCTTGAGGGAAAGAGGGAGGAAGAGAGAGAGAGAGAAACATCGACGTGAGAGAGATACATCAAGTGGTTGCCACCCACACGACCCCAACCAGGGCCGGGGACAAACTGAGATATGTGACCTTAGCGAGAACCAAACCCGGGTCTCTCCGGTCCGCAGGCCAACGCTCTAACCGCTGAGCCAAACCGGCCA